GTGGATCGGGTTCCTCCATCATTCCCACGCCCACACGTAACCTTCACCTAAACAACATTCTTTACACTCCCAACATCATTAAGAACCTCATTTCCGTTCGTAAATTTTCTGTTGATAATAATGTGTCCATTGAATTTGATCCTAATGGGTTTTCTGTGAAGGATTACCAGAGTGGTCAGATGYTGTCCCGCCACAATAGCTCCAGTCGTCTTTATCCTCTCTCGTATCCGGWCACCAACGCCACCTTTTTCACCTCCAGTGCTCGAGATTTTTGGCATGATCGCTTGGGACATCCCGGTGCTCCTGTCTTAGATGTTCTTAGTTCGAATAACATTATTCCATGTTCTAAACGTAGTAAATCTTTTGTTTGCAATTCTTGTCAACTTTCAAAGCACAAACGATTACCGTTTTCTGATTCTACGTCTATTACTATTTTACCCTTTGATATTGTGCATTGCGACTTATGGACATCTCCTATCCCCAGCAAAGCAGGTTATAAATACTACATGGTTTTAATTGACGATTTCATGCAATATACTTGGGTTTTTCCGCTCAAATTCAAGTCTGAAACTTTTTCCAAATTTTCTCAGTTTCATAAATACATCCACACCCAATTCAATCTCAAAATTAAAGCTTTCCAATGTGACTTAGGTGGTGAATTCGATAACCAAAATTTCAAATCTTTTGCTGAAACAAACGGTCTTCATTTCCGTTTCTCTTGCCCTCACACTTCCCAACAGAATGGGAAATCTGAACGTATGATTCATAGACTTAACGAGATCATGCTCACCCTTCTCACACACGCATCTCTCCCACCCCATTTCTGGGTTGAAGCCTTACATACCGCGTGCTATCTCCACAACATTCTCACCACCAAACTCTTAAAATTCACCACCCCTTTGACTGCCCTCTATCATCGACACCCTTCCTATGATCACCTTCGGTTTTCGGGTGTGCCTGTTATCCTAACACGACTGCGACTCGGAAACACAAGTTGGAACATCGCTCCACTCGTCGTGTTTTCCTTGGATACCCCGCCAACTTTCGTGGGTATCGATGCCTTGACCTCTCTTCTGGCAAGATCCTCCTCTCTCTTCACGTCATTTTCGACGAGACCTCTTTTCCTTTTTTTGATAAACATCCCACTACTCCATCTGACTACTCCTTCCTCGAATTTGATCCATCTCCTACCATCTTTGACTCAGCAGCCACTTCCCCACCACCTACCCAACACACTTCCCCATCTCCCACTCTCCAACAACCTCCTATCATCCATACCTACCACCGTCGAAATACACAAGTCCCGACAACCTCCTCGCAGCCCTCTTCAACTGCTGCACCACCACCACCGTCACCCCCTTCACCACCTCCACCGCCGCCGCCACCCGCATCAACCCACCCCATGATCACTCGTTCCCGAGCAGCAACTTCTGCCTCTTCTCTTAACCTACATACAGATACACATACTTCACCTTCTCCCATACCAAATTCCCACATCAAAGCCCTTTCCGATCCACACTAGCGCGATGCCATGAATGAAGAATACCGAGCTCTAATGGACAATCACATGTGGGACTTGGTACCTCGGCCCCCTGATGCGAACATTATCCGGTGCATATGGTTATTTCGTCACAAGTTTAACGCAAATGGCACCTTACAACGCTACAAGGCCCGATTGGTCGTTAACGGGAAATGTCAACAGGTCGGCATCGATTGTGATGAAACATTTAGTCCCGTAGTCAAACCGACCACAATTCGAACGGTGCTCAGTCTCGCTATTTCCCGGGATTGGTCCATTCACCAACTCGACGTTAAAAATGCTTTTCTCCACGGGGACTTAAATGAGACGGTATATATGTTTCAACCTTCGGGATTCACCGATGCCACTCACCCTAATTATGTATGCAGGTTACGCAAGTCTCTTTATGGGCTCAAACAGGCCCCTCTCGCGTGGTATGACAGATTTGCCACCTATATAACTAACTGTGGTTTTCGGAGTACCGTTAGTGATACTTCCCTATTTGTCTACAAAAAGGGAAGTGACATGGCCTACTTGCTGCTGTATGTTGACGATATAGTTCTCACGGCCTCTAATGACCGTCTTCTCACTGATATAATTGCTCTTTTATCTCGAGTTTGCTATGTCAGATTTAGGTACCCTTCATCATTTCCTTGGGATCAATGTTACTCGCAAAGACGGCGGCTTATTTCTTTCTCAAGAAAATTATGCTGCTAAGATCCTATCTCGAGCTCATATGGCAGATTGCAAGCCTAGTTCCACTCCTGTTGACACTTCCCCCAAAATGAGTGCCACAAGTGGTCAACTTCTACCGGATGGGACACATTATCGCCAGTTGGCAGGTGCTTCACAGTATCTTACCATCACGCGTCCGGACCTTACCTATGCAGTACAACAAATCTGCTTATTCATGCATGCCCCACGAGATCCACATTTCCAGTTCCTCAAACGAGTACTCCGTTACCTTAAAGGAACAATTACGTATGGTCTCCATATCTCACCCTCCAAATCAACGAATCTTATTGCCTATTCTTATGCCGATTGGGGGGGGGGGTGCCCCGATTCTCGGCGCTCCACTTCCGGATACTGTGTATTCTTAGGAGATAATTTGGAATCCTGGTCGTCAAAACATCAGCCGACCAAATCTCGATCCAGCGCCGAGGCCGAATACCGTGGAGTTGCAAATACAATTGCTGAAACGAGCTGGTTGCGCAACTTACTTCTTGAACTTCATGTTCCCGCTCGCAAGGCTATGATTGTTTATTGTGACAATATCTCGGCTGTCTACTTATCTGACAATCCCGTACAACATCAGCGTACAAAACATGTGGAACTCGATATTCACTTCGTTAGAGAAAAGGTCCGAATTGGTGTTGTCCGAGTTTTACATGTTCCAACCGATTTTCAATACGCCGACATCTTCACCAAAGGGCGCTTCCGCGTCATCTATTCAACCGTTTTCGGTCCAGTCTGTGCATTCGTCCATACACTGCTCAGACTGAGGAGGTGTATTAGCTGTAAATTAGCTAGCTGTAAATTAGCTATTTCTGAGTTTAGCCTCATCTATTTTAGGATGTTTATTATGTCATTGATCACCCCTAAATGAGTGGAGATCATTTCCTAATTTGTAGCCTCTCAGTTGYATATATATTCAGCTGATGTATATAGAAGATAATAAAAGGAAAACACGATTACTTTCAGATGTTACTATTGTAGGACTTCAATTAATTAGATCTTATATAAAATGTGATGCCTAACCTTTTCTTTTTTGTCTTTCTTACGCAAGTTCCAGAATATAAAGGAAGCCAAGGAACTTAATCACATATATCCTAAAATCAAGTATTTATGCGGAACCGAACTATTGCAATCATCAAGGCACATATTTAAGAAAACCTATGCAACCATCAACCTTACCATAAGACTTGGCGATTTTCTATATTTGAAGGGAGAGTGTGCATCAACTCCTGTCCATGTTCCATAGAATGTGTGGTAAGTTTGATGGTTGCCTTAGATTGCCCTTATGCCATAAGGCAGTTGGCAGTTTCACAAGCATAAATAAACCTTCAATCTTATATCTCAATCCCAAAACTTTTGCTTAAATTTCCTATGTTCCTTGATCTACATAGTTGTTGTGATAGTCAATTTATTGACAAGTTACTTCTTCAGTCTCCAAAGCGAAGCACAAACCTATGCTTCCAACCAAAATAGGAACTTAGGAAGATGCTTACAATAAATTTGGAGACAATACAGTCATAACTGGATTCGGAAGCATGTTATCAAACACTTGGAATTTAGTCAAGCAAAAAGGTAAGAAACGCAAATTTATTTTTCCTACCAGTAGTTCCTGAAGAGAAGAGGATATTCGAGAAAGCTTCCACTGGTCGTTCAACAGCAACAAACTCGACATTCCTGTACTTATTATTTGTGAATTCAACAACAAAAAAATTCAAACAGTACCAATATTCAAGTTAAATAAAGCTACTATACTAACAAAAGATTATATGTCTTCCCTTGAAACATGAACTGAGTTGGGATATTCGATGATATAAATTCAACAAACTACAAACATTGATCTAATACTTACAGAAATAACTACACTGCCTTCCTGTCTTTCTAGAATACAATCACAAAGAAAGACATGACGAATCATTTAATTGTCGTACTATGCATTTTAAGTTTTAATGTTGGTTCACTTAAGAGGGTACCATCAACAATGCATGAATAATGGAATATAACACGACTCACGAGTGTAAAAGAAAAAGACAAAAATAGCTTGCCAAAGAACAAACAAATGAAAATTAATAAGCATGAATGGCAAGGTTATACGAAGAAGAAAACATACCTGTACTTTTTAACTCGTTCCAGAAAATCATGCCAAGAAATATCTGTGTCACGCAATTTCATACTAAAGCTGGATCCCCTTGTAGGAATGACAATTGCCACAGGCGATCGAGCATCAACGACTCGGCTGCAGAATTTACCCTATATGTTAGATCATGTTGTCACATGCAGAAAAATAAAAACATGGGCTCAAAAGGGAAAGCATGAAAGGTCGGTTTTGATGTGGGAAATGCAATCAGCACCTGTACAAGGGGATGCTTCTGTCACCACGAAGAATCAAATCCTGAGGAAAAAGATTATTGATGAGAGATATGAATGTTGTAAAAACAACACAAAAAAGGATTCTCGGGGCATCATGTAACCATTTTCAAGGTTTCTTAGACTTTAGAGCATAACATGTTCCCAAGAAGAATGCATATAAATTAGAATACCCTGCTTTATAACTCAATGAGCTATTTGGAATATAAATATTTCTGGACTATAGTTATTGTGTCATGTGATGGTATGTAGCACTGTTTGTGCTGGATATGTTGTTAGACTTATCCAGAACCAGGCAATAGCCAGTGGCAAAGATTTTTTTGCCCTATAAATGGTTGGAAAGTGGAAGATTTACATGTACTAAGAAGTTTAACACTTGTACACAACAAAGTTGGTAGTGGGGCTATATTTTACTAATGACAATCTACAAGACTACGATATTCTAATATAAATAATACAACAGCAAAGATTCATGCAACAAACCATATGAGCCCAACTATAGAACAAGTACTATGCGTTTCATGAATAGCTTAAGATATTATAAAAGATTTCATTATTCTGGCCTATGTAAATAGGAAATATAAAAACTAACCTGGGTAAAAATTGCTTTTGCTTTTGATAGTACAAGTCTTGTTGAAATTTCACCAGGAGCAAAACTATCTGCAATAGATACGACCACATAGCCTGCCAGAACAATTGCTAGATATATCACCACGGATTTGACATCCATAGGCATATCAATTGCAATTGCAGATCCTTTTTCCAATCCAAGTGTTTCAAGAGCATATGCAACTAACCTAAATAGAGTCCCAAAAGAACTTCACATGAGTCAAGGATATTTGATTGTATGATTTTGTTTTTTATTGACAACATCAACCTATAAAATCATAAGTTAGATAATTTTATTGTATTACTACTAAACGTGCTTTTGCTAAGAAGCAAAAAGAATTGTCATGATATTGTTTACAAAAATAATCAACACATTTGTAGAATGACACTAATACTCATATAGTGATTTCTATAATGATGTATTCCTGCTCCAGTAATAAAAAACTTGCAATGGTTTTGGAAAGAAATTCTACAGAAAAGGAACTGCTCAATACAATAAACAGCTGATTGGAAATGATAATAATTACCAGTGAACTTCACTCTCTACAGTCTACACTGTAGTACTATTTTTCTTGGCAAAGTACAGCAATACTATTTGACAAAGTAGAGCAACAAGATTAAAATTCGCATACCAAACCTCCGAGCGCAATTTTTCAACTGTCATTGTGTTGACTGGCATTTCATCATTCCCCTCATCACGCCATATCACTGCTATATCGCTCAAACTTCTCTTGCTACTCAAGCTCAAACAATTTCGAGCAGGATTTACATAAGCTCCAGGAAGCCACTGACCTCCTGGATGCAACAACTGGCTTTTTTCAGATGGCTCATCAACTAATATGTGTTGTGGAGGCACAGAAAATGATATATTCATTTCCTCCAGTATCGTTTTCCAAAACACCTGGCATAAATTATGGTTAAGTATACAGCAAAACCCCTACTATCCCAAAGCAGTTTGGGTACACAATAATATCTAGCTCAAAGTATATGGATATAAAAGATAACAGCATCCAGTTTACAACTCAACAGAAGTCATCTATGTCCAATTTAATTCATGGTTTTCCCCATGATTATGATCTACTGGAATAAATAATACATGGCTTACACATTAAAGAAAAAGTTACACACCTCCAGATTTGACACTGAGAACTCCTGAAATGCAGAGTAGCTCGAAATGGGATCTTTATAACTGGGACCCAAGAATTCCTTTCCTCGTCTCTCTAACAAACGACCTATGTTTGTCAGTATTGCATCCTCCCTAGCATGCCAGGGAAACAACTTAATAATGAGCACAGAGATATAATCAACGTCAGTTCCCAAGCAAACTTTATCAACAACCTACAAAAACCAGCACTGAAAGGAGAATATATCTGCAAAAGAGAACCGAGGGTGTACCAGAAAAAATTCATTTTGCTTGATTTACCAAAAATATCTCATTAAGGATAAATAATCAAAAGTCAGTTATGCTATAATTTTCTAAGATAGAGTATCTAAATCAAAATCTCTTAAAAAATTACATCCAACTCCAACAACTACTTTATTTTAGCAATTTCAACATTAAAGTTAGACAATGTGTGGTTGGTAAACAAGGATCGGTTTTTTCGCAATCGAGAATTTTTATGAAAGCCTTTCATTTGCTTCTCTTCGATGGAAAGAATGCATTGGATGGATTCCTGGGCATTGAGAAGGAAGGACGCCTATTTCTTTCTGATTTAAGCTCTCATGATTGGAGGAATGTTTTACGAAAGAGTGGTCTTTCAGGATTGGTCGTTGTGTGTCACCACCTCCCACCTTGAATCGACGAACAACCGAACCCTTGGGACCTTCTTCAACCCCAGGATGTCGAGAAAACTGGTGTTTTCTGAATTATATGAAGCCAGTATTATATTATTAAAATATTCTGTAAATTCATCATCCCAGTACACTTTCAAAAAAACTTTATAAAAATTATACATTCAACCTCATTGGTAGAAACAATAATTTAGTATATCTCTCTCCTCAATATTAAGTTTTAAAGATTTCTACCTTCCTCTATTTTTTTCTTCTATTTTAGCATACACTTCTCTTGGAGAAAAAAAAGTTCTTGTCTCCAGAATCTCTACTTAGCATAGTTGTTAGAGATGCTCAAAGGTCTTTATGTATGTAAATTAGTTGACGCTTTGTAAGTTGTTGACTTGTTGGTTTATGATAAGTAGTTAGCTGTTAGTAGTTAAACGGAAGTTAGGTGGTGGTAATATAAATAGAGTGTACCAGATCAGAAGTAAGGAACATAAAATTTATATCAATCTTCAGTTTCTAAATATATCGACAAAAACTGGAGTTCCGAAAGCATTTAGGGGTCTTCTATTGGGAATTAAAATCATTCCCTTCATTCTAATCCATAATTTTCTCCTCAGATTGCTCCTCTATTTTCGTTCATTTATTTTGTTCCCTTTTTAACCATTGTTTTGGTCTTTTTATTTCTCCCTCTGTATTGCATTTTATTATTGAATAAAAAAACACAAAACCTTGAGCCATCAATTTGATCATCTTCAACCACCACCAATCCACCATTACCATGGAAATGAATCGCAATGAATATATCCACAATCTTTGAAATTAAAATCAACTAAAATTTATGTAACCAAACAAGGGCTCACAATTACATCATTGTATTCCAGCAAATATAATATAACCGAAATGAAGACACCAACTATAACAAGCACATGTAGTAGATCAGATACTTGTAATATGCTAATCCCCCTTTCCCAATATCTACACTTTTATTTTTAATTCTTCGATCCTACTATCTTCCAAATGTAAAATTGATATAAAACGGTTGGAATAGTGATACCAGCAATCTGCAGTACTTGTTACGAAGCTCTTGTAACCATAAACCTTTCTCCACTAATAAATCTTAGAATACACATAAAATTTCAGTTGAAATCCCTGGCTCTGATACTTAAAAGTGAAAACTGTATCCAACCAAGAGGATATACCGTTATCGGAGCACAGTAAATAGAAAACTCCAAAATTCCGAATCTGTGCCCCCAAAAACTAGCTTACATAAACACTAGATACAACAATCAAACAAGGAGGAGTGAGAGCTTACGGGTCGGGTAACCAAGCAGGAGGATCGGGTCCGAAATCTATGTAACATCCATAATACATCATCTGATGAAAAGAGAAAGGAAGATCGGGATTGAGAAGTCGAGTGGAGATTTCCTTCCATGTATGAGGAGTACCAGGGCCGTAACTCCGGATGATCTGAGTGAGCTCCTGATGAAGTTTAGCGGCAGTTTCCGGCGGAATACCAAGGTCTTGTATGTCGGATAAGCAAATAGAATCGAGAGATTTGTACACCATTGTTGAATCTCTGATATTCTTTGAATAATCTTGATGATGATCTTTTAGAAAGCGAGAGATTCAAGGAAGAACGGAAGATGGGTTTGGTGAGTCGTGATTCATGTGAAGGAGTATAGAGTTCAGGATGGTTTTATCCACAAAGGTGCCGCGTGTTTCTATCAATTTTCTATTTAATTTTTCAAAAACCATTAAAATATTATATATTTATATTCTGTTATTTATTTTTTATTTCAATATCGTATCCGGCAATACTTTACAAGTTCGTGATCTCTTGATAAAAGCGAGAACCACTTTGAAATTGGCATCAGAGCCACCCGATTTTTCTCTGAGGAAGACGATTAAATAGTATAAAAATAAAACAAACATTTAAATTTTTAAATATACATGCCAGGTAAGTAAATTAGACGTGTTTCTTAAAAACATGTACTTGAAAATGACATTTTCAAATTATATACTTATGGTTTTTAAATTCTCGTGTTGTTGTTTCCTCAAAAATAACTCTCTGTCTTACCATATATGACTGATTTTTATCTGTCACAAAAGCATAAATTCCTTTACGTTATTTTAGAAGAAGAAAAAAAGGAAGAAATTTTTTTATTTGTGTTCTTAAGAATGAAGAAATTCATGTCTTAACAGGCTTTTAACATCCTCTTACTTAGGGGTGCTCAAAAACCCGACCAAACCGATCAACTCAATCCAACCCAATACGAAATAACTTAATCTGAAGCAACCCGATGTCTAATTGAGTTGTAAAATTGTCAAACCGTAGGTATTGGGTTGATATTGGGTTACTATTATTTGAACCCAACCCGATGAACCCGATATCCTTTTATTTCTTGGATTTTAATATGATTATTGAATTTCTATTAGTATATACATTAGACAATTACATTATCATGTATGTTTTTTATATACACATATTTTCAATCAATTCACATCTCTATATAACTCATTCGTATATATGTTCAGTAACTGTGAACATGTATATGTAAATTGAGAAAGTTAACTGAATGTGATACACGTAATAAATATGGATAAGTTGTATCAAATGGTTAATGATGAAAATAAAACTATGAGTAAAGAAATAACATATTCAAAGTTAGAATAATATTTTAATGTACCAAAGTATTAACCCGACCAACCCGTACGGGTTGGGTTGGGTTGGGTTGGATTGCACTTTGGTTTGGGTTGGGTTGGGTTAAGATTTTTTCAAACCGCAAGCATTGGGTTGAGTTGTTTAAATATTTTCAACCCGATCAACCCAACCCATGAGCACCCCTACTCTTACTTCCCTAAAACAAAAAGAAAATCTAGGGTTCCAAATCTCATGTGCTCCACGTTAATCAATCCACTCTTGATCCTCGTCCTCGCCTCGATCGTGCTGACATAAAAACGTAGATACAAACCCTGCAGGAGACATTCATATGCATGCTACATTGATCTCGTATGGTTGTTTGAGTGTGGTGGGCATCCAAGCAAGTCAAATAGCTTGTTTTTGAAAGAGACTATATTGATCATGGTAAGTATGAGTAATGAAACAATTTTGCTTCTGTTAGCGTCAAGATAAAAATAAGAGGATAACTTTTTTTCTTCGCCGTTATTTGTCCTCACCTTTTCGAGCCATTTGTACGCAACCACCACGTAAAGCACACTAGCTTCAAATAAATCAAAACCCACAGTGATATTGTCATAGGCAGGGGTGTTCATGGGTTGGGTTGATCGGGGGTGAAGACATTTGAACAACCCAACCCAATGCTTGCGGTTTGAAAAATCTTAACTCAACCCAACTCAAACCATATGGGTTGATCATGTTGGTTGGGTTGATACTTTGGTACATTAAAATATTATTCTATCATTGAATGTGTTATTTCTCTATTCATAATATCCTTTTCATCATCAACCATTTGATACAACTTATTTATACTTCTTACGTATATCATATTTAATTAATTTTCTCAATTTATATATCTATATATGTTTACAGTTACTGAACATATATACGAATTAGTTATAATAGAGATGGAAAATAGATTGAAAATATGTATATATGAAGAGCGTATGTGATTATATAGTTGGCTAGTGTATATATTAATCTAAACTCAACAATCATCATCGGGTTGTGTTGAGTTCAAATAATAGTAACTTAATATCAACTCGATACCTATGGTTTGAAAATTTTACAACTCATTTAGACATCAGGTTGCTTCTAGTTGAGTTATTTCGCGTTGAGTTGATTGGGTTGATCAGGTTTTTGAACACCCCTAATCATAGGTATTTCATATCAGAAACTTTTTGTTGCTTGAAAATGAATATCTATACTATATTATAAAGCATTTGACAAAAACTCTTAAAACCACTTTTTATGCGTAAAGTACTGTTTATTAATGCATATTACTTAAAACTCAAGATTGCAAGTAGATTGTGCGTAAATACAACTTATTAAAGCTTCATATCTGAATTCGTGTAGCTAACTGCAGATAAACATAATCAAATACAGGATAAACATCTCATTTTAAATATAAAAAATCTAAAATATAATTAGGATAATCATTGAGTTTTAACAGAATACTTGATTATTATCTTTATAAAAATGTTATATCATTAAACCAAAAATAAATTATTTCGTTATTAAACTTACATTAAATTATAATAAAAATAAATAAATTAAAAAAATTACATAAAAAATAGAAATTTTAAATAGTGGATTTGATATTAACATTGATATATTTGTTTTCAAATTTATATTTTATTCAAAARTAAAATCATTATTGTCTTTTTAACAACACATAAAATCGTATTATAACATCGAGAGAAACAAGTAATAAAATAAAACATTAAAATCGAGACGTGTCTCGCTGCATTGCACGAATACCCTTTTAATTATAGTTAAAGAGATCTTTGTATAACTTTTTTAAATATTTTCGAGCAAAAGTATTTTTTTTTATACAAATTCAATATTATAATACTATAAAGTGTAAAACATATCATTACAAACACTTAGGTGGCGTTTGTTTTTTAAGAGGTGCTGAAGTCTGAAGTCTGAA